GGCCTCCCAAAGTGCTGGGATTACAGGCTTGAGCCACCGCGCCCGGCCATTTCATTTTTTTTTATTTTCATTTTTTGAGATAGGGTCTCACTTTGTTTCCCAGTCTGGAATGCAGTTGCACAATCTCAGCTCGCTGCAACCTCCACCTCCCGGGTTTAAGCAATCCTCTCAGCTTAGCCTCCTGAGTAGCTGGGACTATGAGATGCACACAACCACACTCAGCTAATTTTTGTTTTTTTTTGGAGATGTGGAGTCTCACTCTGTCGCCCAAGCTGGAGTGCAGTGACGTGATCTCAGCTCACTGCAAACTCTGCCTCCAGGGTTCAAGCGATTCTCCTGCCTCAGCCTCTAGAGTAGCTGGGATTACAGGTGCGCACCACCACACCTGTCTAATTTTTGTAATTTTAGTAGAGATGGAATTTCACCATGTTGGTCAGGCTGGTCTCGAACTCCTGATCTCAGGTGATCTAACTGCCTCTGCCTCCCAAAGTGATTACAGGTGTGAGTCACTGCACCCAGCTACCTGATTTCCATTTTTAAAAGGTCATTCTGGGTGCAGAGTAAAGAACCAAAACTGGCCAGAGTGGCAGACAGCACAGCAGTTAGGAGTAACTGGGAATCATTAACTCATCTTGCCTGAGAAGCCAGCAGCATCAAATCATCAGAGGAAAACCAGAACTCGAAGTGCATGAATGACAGGACAAGGAAGACTGCAAGAGTGTGGTGAGCCCAGCTACCCAGCTTACAGAAAGACATGCCGTCAGAGAAAAGCAAAACGGGAGGGATTCTCCATATACAAACTCTACGTCAACCAATCCCAGAGAAGTTAAAATGACTTCTCCCTGCCAAGCTTAGCCCTAAGTATGGAGGGAAGCATAGGGCCCACCTCCTGCAGCTGTGATGGGAGAGGGATGGGGCTGCCCACCGAGCTGGCAGCAAGTCTCTTATATCAGCTGAAAATAGCCCAAGAAACTGTAAGTTAAGCACTTGCAGTCTTTTACAACCTTAGTAATAAAGGAACACTCTTTCCATGGTTCAGGAGATGACAAAAAAGCCAGCCAGGTGCCTTTCTGAGTAAGGGTTTTCTGCTGACCTAAGATGTAACCTTTCTGTTAACCACAGGGTGGTTCCCACCAGAGCCCACACTCATTTCTCTCACACCTTCTCGGGGAGAGAGGAGAGAGAGCCAAAGGTGATCCTCTGGTCTCCCTTCATCAAGGCCAAGTCTTTTCTTTCCAAGCACACCCCTCTGGGCTGGATGCCACAGGGCACTGATGTGGAGGAACCAATGCAGCCCATGCTGCAGGGCTCCCACGAGGAAGGCTGGGTGATGGAGAACATCCCACTCTGCTCAAGGCAGTACTCACCTCTGCACAAGGCCCCCAAGCCAGGGCGGGCTGTAGACGAGCCGCTGCGGGGAGTCTATCTTCTTTAGGAGGTCATAAGAGAAGCCCTGGATGATGGCCTGCATGTGTGAGGCACAGCTCTGCATGAACTCCACTATCTGCAAAATGTCGCAGAGACACCCAATGCAGGCACATCACTTTTCAGTGGAATGGAAGCTTGGATGTGAAGATAAATGGTCCGAGGAGCAGAGAGCCCCCAGCAGAAAAACCTCTTGAAAGGAAAGGGCCCAGGTGATTTTCTAAATATTTCTGGAATGTTTTCAGGGAGAGAATTTGGGGCAACAATTTCCTCCAACTCCCTCCTTCAACAGGTGAGGAAACTGAGGCAAAGAGAAATAAAATTGCTAGTCCAAGGCCCAATAGCTGGGGCCTGCACTGTACCTGTCCTTTGTGTTTTACATTTATGTTATTTTTTCTTCATTAAAACACATCATACCAGCTGGGCATGGTGGCTCACTCCTGTAATCCCAGCACTTTGGGAGGCTGAGGTAGGCAGATCACAAGTCAGGAGTTCGAGACCAGCCTGGCGAACATGGAGAAACCCCATCTCTACTAAAAATACAAGTTAGCTGGGCGTGTTGGTGCAAGCCTGTAATCCCAGCTACTCAGGAGCCTGAGGCAGGAGAATGACATGAACCCAGGAGGCGGAGGTTGCAGTGAGCCAAGATTGCATCACTGCACTCCAGTCAGGGCAACAGAGTGAGGCTCCTTCCCCTTCCCCCACAAAAAAAATCACACCTGCCAAGCCAAGTTACAGTGGGCCTGTTTCCCCACCTATAAAATAAGGACAATAATAGTGCTTACCTGAGAATGTGTTGTGAAGATTAAGCGAGTTAATATACAAAAAACATTTAGAACAACATCTGAGTCATGGTAAGTGCTAATTAAATGGGTCAGACAAAATTACAGTTGTTTGCCCTTCCCACAGAATGGATGACTAGAAAGGTTCACTAGACTTGCTGGACGTTTCACAGCTGGCTAACCTGCTTAGAAGTAGGCCTGAGAGTACAGTGCCAATGCCAAGGCCACTGCACGCTCTGTGTTGACCACTGGGAGCCTGACTCTCAGCCCAGTGCTCTTCCACTGGGCGTGGATGCTGAGTGGGGCCCACCCTTACCTGGGTGCTACGCTCCTTTCCTGCTGTCAAGGCCCAAGTCTGAGGGTTTTGACCCCTCTCATCGTGGAGTCGCAGGTCACCTCCTGCATCCAGCAGTTTGCTGAGGATCCACTGATTGCCTGAAAATGCTGCTGCATGGACAGGGGTGCTCCCATCAAAGCAGCGGCTGGGGAGGGAGATGGGTACAATGGGTGTCCATGGGAATGCTCCTGCATTCCACAGAGCCAGGCTCATTGTGCAACACAGGGCTCCCATTCTACAAGAATGGGGAATGAGGGATATAACAATATAATTTGTGATGCCCCTGTCTGTGACCTTTCTTTCTTTCTTTTTTTCCTTTTTTTTTTTTTTTTGTTTTTT